CTGGTGGTGGCGGCGGTGCTGCTGCTGCTGCTACGGCCGGCGGTCGTCGTGGCCGTCGCCGTGGCCCGTCGCGGCCGGGAACAGAAAGCGAAACGGTCGCCTGGAGGCGGTGGCGGCGGAAGGCGGAGAGGAGGAGGAGGAGGCCTCGGCGGGTGGCGGGAGCTTGAGAAGGACCGGGGCAGCAGGAGGAGGAAGAGGAGGAAGGGCGCCGCCGCCACGGGCCGCCCGCTGCCAATGTAAACATTAAAAGCCTGGCGCCGTCACGTGACCCGGCGGGGCCCAAAAAGCGGCGGCGGCGGCGGGAAAAAAAAGGAGGCGGAGGCGGAGGGCAAGCGGCGGACGGGTGTGGGAGGGGCTGGAGGGAGAGGGGAAAGAAGGGGGAGGGGGAATAAAAACCCGCGCGCGTGCGCAGCGTCTTATCCTCGCCTCGCTCTTTCTCTCTCTCTTTCTATCGCGCGCGCGCACCGTCTCGCGAGAGCGGCCCGCGGGAGCCGACTTTTTCCCCCCCTCCCTCCCTCCAAGCGGAGCGACGGTTTTTCCTGCCCCCTCCCGTCAAAAAAAAGTGGAAAGGAAGAAAGGGATCTCTCGCGAGAGTCCACGAGAAGAGGGTGGCTGGTTGCGCCTGGTTGGACGTTTCCACCTCCCCTCCAAACGACGACCCGTTCTCTTGAGTGACCGCCGCTCCGGCCAATGAAGTTTTGGGACTCAAAAGCTGTGCTGGAGAGGGCGGGGGGGGAAAGAAAGAGAAAGACGGAGGTGGTGATAGGTCGGTGAGAGATTCAAGGCGGGGGTTGGGCGCGCGCTTTCGTTGGAGGGTTTAAAAAGGCGGGCAATGGCGGGCTGAGGGAAGGAAGGGCGTCGTGTCCGTGTGGGAAGAAGGACGTCTCCTTTTGAGGGGGGGGGGGAGAGTAATATTGGAAGGAAAAACCGGATGGATAGAGTCGTGGGCCTTAAAAGACACCCACAGGGACTTCTGAGGGGACCCAAAGACAGAATCCCCAAATACAGTTCTGAATAAGCAGCTCTCTTACGGCTCAGGTTGCCAGATATACAAGGGTAACCAAAAGGAGGGCAGAGGAAGGAGGACGTGTTGAATGTTTCATTTGAATCACTCCAGATTAAACCTGCAATCAATACAATTTTATTACAATGTTGTTGTTTAATCGTTAAGTTGTGTCGTTAAGTCCCACTGGAATGCTACCACCTCCAGTGGCCTTATTGTTAGCCAGGCTTTCTAAGGCCCACTTGACTTCATTCTCCAAGATGTCTCGCTCAAGGTCAGCAACTACATTGTCTGGGTTGTCCGGGATATCCAAATCTTTCTGATATAATCCCTCTGTGTATTCTTGCCACCTCCTCTTGATGCCTTCTGCTTCTCTGAGGTCTCTCCCATTTTTGTCCTTTATCATGTCCATCTTTGCACAAAAGTTTGCTTTAATATCTCCAATTTTCCTGAACAGATCTCTGGTTTTTCCTTTTCTATTATTTTCCTCTATTTGCATTGCTCATTTAAGAAGGCCATCTTGTCCTTCCTTGCTATTCTTTGGAAGTCTGCATTCAATTTTCTGTAACTTTCCCTAT